CAGCTGCCAAGTGCCGGGACCGCGACCCGCCGCGCTTCCTCCCCGCGCAGCCCCGGGGCGTCCTGCCGGCGGCCAGCAGAGGCCGGGCCTGGGGGCGGGTGTGGCCTCCACCCGCAACCCCGCCCCTTAAAGGCCCCGCCGCCTTCCCGCAGCCGCCCACACGCGGGGGCCCCTCCGGCCACGTCCCCGGCGGCGCAGAGGTGACCCCCGGCCGCGCCCGCAGCCTCATCGGCAGGATGCTGCAGATGGCAGGCCTCCCTTGGAGAACCATCCGCTGGACCCCAAAGGCTCCTGCGGGGCGCCCTGGCTGGGCTCAGGGTGCACGTCCGTGTGTGCATGCAAGTGTGTGCGTGAGGCTGGCGTGAACACGTGGGTGAGCGATGCCCAGCTGAAGGGTGATTTCCAAGATGGTCATTTTCCCACCAGCTGGGAAGTGTGTGGATGTCAAGGCCTTGAAAGTCCCCAGAAGTCTGTAGCTGGCGCCTTGAAGTCGGAGTTGGCCTTTGTGTTGGCCCTAGGAGTTGCGAAGGGAGGGAAGGGAGGACCCTTGTGCTGATTCAAGGACCAGGGAGAGGCTCAGCAAATGCCCCAGGCCCTGGTCTCAGGATGGGGATGTGGCCTTAATCTTGTGAGTGTGGGGTGGGCATGTGTGAGTGCATTTGTGACAGGTACATATGTGGTGTGTGAAAGTGGGTGTGCTTGAGTGCACTGTGACTTGTGTGGTGTGATGCATGTGGAGATGTCTGTATGGTACTAAGTGTGGAGTGCTGTGATGTGTGTGCACATATGACATGCTCCTGGCGTGTTCATCTTGTGGAGGAACGCAGCCAGATTCTCCAAGGCCTGACACAGCCTTAACCTCTAACATGGTTCAGCTGTGTTTTCTGCAGCTGTGTACATGGAATTAGACTTTCAAATTCGTCTGCGATTCACACTTACTGCATAGGAGCTTGTAGGCCAGGACTGGCCACATCAGTGGGATTTGGGCCCAGAATCAATGCTGTCCCCTTCGCCCCACTGTCTTTGTGGAGGAAAGAATTGGGAGGCAGCTGGACAGAGGGCCCTTGTGGAAACTGGAATCTGATGGAGGCTGCCCAGGTGAGCCAGAGACCAGCCCTTCCTAATCAGAAGGGGAAAATAAAAATGGCTCCAGCCACATCCTGCAAGCGACCATTCTTCAGCACTAGCACGGCCCACAGGCTGGAGGCTGGGGCCTGTTCTCTTCTTCTTTACAGCTGGTATTTTAAGCAGAAACAAAGGAAATCTCTTCTTGTTTGAAGGAAAAATCAGTTATTTTCTGATCTATAGCAAGATCTGTGCAATTGGATGATGCAGGTCTTGTCAGGCCCTAGAAGTCTAGGCCACATCCACTGGTACCCACACCCCCCTGTGCCCATGTGAGTTCATGTGCACACGTGTGTGCTGGCTGCTGCTGTGTGGGTGGTGACAAGGTGCCTGTCCGTCTTGTGGAACTGGTGGGACCAGTCTCATTCCTCATTGACAGATCTCAGAGGCTGCTCACCCCACTGGCACTAGTTACAGGCTTGTAACAAACTACAAATTAACCACCACCCCTGGCCTGGAATGTATCACATTTCCATATGTTTCTACAAAGGGACTTGTCAACATGGAGACTGGAGACTCAGCATTTGCTTCTAGAACCAACCTGGTTGGTGGTGGGGGGGGGGATGACACAGGCTTATGAGACAATGCAGGTGTCCAAAACATGCATGTCCCAGAGCTGAAACACCCTGTCAGTCAGCTGGATGGATCTATGGCACCCACTTGGATGACACTGGGCTGCTCACTTTTCTGACAGCACAGCACACACCTTCCCCGCAGTGACATTCCCTGCTCCCTGCAGAGCCTGTCTTTCCAGCACCCACTCCCCTTGACCTGGGAAGCAGACTACCGTTCTCCTGCAAACGCGTCCCGTTCTGCTATGACTCTTCAGTTTAACCTTTCTGTCTTTCTCTGTGTCTATTCGTCTCTCTGTTGTATGTGTGCGTGTGTTTACAGGTATGTGTACCCAAGCAGACAGGCAGAGGCCAGAGAAGGACATTGCTTTTGACTTGACTCCCTTAAGACAGGGTCTGTCACTGAACCTGGATCTAGGCTAGTGACCGACAAGGCCCAGCAATCCTGTTTCTGTTTCCTTCCTTTTCCCCCAGCACCCAGCTTACAGGCACACCTGGCTTTTTACATGGGTTCTGGGGCTTTGAACTCAGACCCTCATGCCTGTACAGAAAATGTTCTTGCCTACTGAGCCATCTCACAAGACCAGCTTTAACCATTCTTCAAAGCAACGCTTTGTGACTACGAGTTCTCTAACACACACCTTGTTTCTTTGAGTAGTGGGGTGGGTCTAGGGGTGGAGACGGAGCCCAGATGTTCTGGCTGCTGTCCAGAAGTCCACTCTACCCCATGGTAGCAGGTGATGGAACATCTCTCAGCTGCTTAGCCTGAACCACACACTCTTTACATCAACCCACAGGAGCTGGGCCTCCAGGAGCAGCTACCTGCCTGGAAGACTCCAGAGGGCTTCGCTCTGAACTTGGAGCAGAGCTTCCTGTGTGGCTGGGTGTCCTGGCAGAGTGGAGGAAGATGCAGGTGCCATGTTCTGAACATCCCTTCTGTGTGCTGACAGGAGCTGGCCCACAGCCCCGGCCAAAGGTCCCATTGTTTTATTTTCCATCTCAGACATTTTTGTGCCGTTTGTCACCCAGTCAGGAATCCCTCTTGGATATTCTCTACTGAGTCACCTGGTCCTGGGGCAATTTCTTCATCCGTGTATCAAGGCTGGAAATATTTCACCATCTTCTCTACCAAGCCCAGGAGCTGTGAGATGTTGTATTGTCAGAAATGAATGTATAATCTAGTGTTACATACTTGTTAATGTGTGTAATTATTCATTACTGATGAGCCAGGTAATTTTGTAGATTTTTTTTTTTTTGAGGCAGGGTCTCATGTAGGCTAGGCTGACCTCAAACTCACCACATAGTCAAAGATGGCCTTGAACTCTTGATCATCCTCCTATACCGCCTAAGTACTGGGATTACAGGCTTTATGTGGTGTTGGGGATGGAACCAGGTCCTCATGCACGCTGGGCAGGCTCTCTAACTACTGAGCTACATCCTCAGCCCTCTTATAGGTTTTGTTTTGTTTTTTAAAACATACTTCTAAAAAATTGGGATTGTCATTAAGTTTCTAAGATCATCTTAAACAAAAGGGAAAGTGAGAGTCCAGGAGCTTCCTCCTTTCCCAGAAGCGGTTGCTGGGATTATTGTGCCCAGCACCCTCGCAGATACAGTGGCGCTGTGACGTTCACTTCTCAGGCCACAACCATAGACCATCTGCTTTTTTGAACTACATCATAGCTCCCTACACCCTCCCCAGCCCCCACTGCTGCCCCTGCCACCCTGAGAATCTCCTTTAGGCATATATCATGATGCACAGGCCAGGGCTGTATGGGGGAAGGGGACCAGGGAGTGTGAGAAGGCGTTTGGTCCAGTCTCTTGTCTCTATCCACTGGCTCCTAAGAGCTTTAGGCCTGTTTCCTGACAAATCTGGGGACCTCAAGCAAGGGGCCAGTGAACCCAGGCAATGTACACACACACAGGTACACACACACACACACATACATGCTGTGCCCCTCAGAGCTGAGCCCTGAGCCAGACTTCCCTTCTTTCCCTCAGGGCCACTTTGGACAACTCATGGCTGAGCTGTCCTGTCCTGGTACCTTCAGTCACAGGAAGTGCAGCAGCTGCAGGTGGACAGCAGTCAGCCAGACCCCTTGAAGGTGTGGCCAACCAAAATGACAGTACTGTGGAGCCAGGCCCCTCTGCTGGGAAGGGCGCTCAGAGTCCCAGAGTTGCACCATATAGGCAGACACCTGGCAAGCCCCCACCCCCACCCCAGGTCAAAGCTGTGTGTACGGAGGAGCCCCAGGGCCATCGGATGCTGAGACACTGGGCTTCACTCGTGGCAACACAAGACGATGTTGTACCATTTGAAAGATGACAAAGCTAAGCTCAGAGAGGCTGAGGAAGCTTCCCAAAGCCACACAAGAAAACTGAGCTAAGGTTTGGCCCCAGGGTCATTTGTCCCCAAACCCAACTTACTCCACCTCATTTTATAAAGACAGAGGCAAGCAAATTCCACTTAAAAATATTAAAAACTGGAAGGGAAGGAGTCCCCTTTCTCAGGACTGTGGGCAGAGATCTGGGTAAAGAGAACACATAGGCTTTTAAACCTGAGGGAGGTCAGTTATTCAGGAATCCACAGGGGATAACAAGGAGGTCTGTAGGTCTCAAGCCTTCTAAGGAAGACATCCTGTCCCAGTGCCCATGTGGAGACGACCAGGCAATCAGGTGACCGTCTTGAGTGGCCAGTGCCCTCGTACAGTACTCACCAAGCAGAGAGAGCCTTCCAGACACCCCACCCAAAGTGCTGCCAATCAACAGGGCACAACCCTCAGACCCCACCCAAGTGGCATCTGCTAAGGAGCCTGAGTCACAGCGACATCAGGGAGGGGTCAGCAGCATCCGAACAGAGCCAAATGCCCTGGGCAGAGTGGGGACTCACCTGTAATTCTGCCCAAGCTGGACGCACAGAGGAATGCGCCTGGGAAGCAGCCTGCCTCTGCCAGGTAGCTTGGCTAAGCTTCCCATGGAATTTTCCAGGAGCCATTGCTTATGCAATTGGGTGGGACCACCCTTAGCAGCAAGAAGCAGACAGCCAACACGTTCAGATAATCCCCCCAGACTTTTATTCTGTGTGTTTTCCTGACTCCAAAGAGTGCTAGCCCCTCCCCATGCATGCACAACTGGAGTCACATGGCAGAGGTCTACCTGGGAGCTGACATCCATCATTACAAGTGGAGTTTGTAGGGCTTGCCTGGGGGTGGTGGGTACAGGAGGATTAATGCACTGTAGACAGACGCCCTCCCCTCATGGACCCCGGATGGGCTTCCCGTAAGGGCTTGAGTGGGGGTGGCCTAGGGGCCCTACTTGCTCGGACCTGGAACCCAGCTTCTCCGGTCTGTTGGACCTGCCTCAGCCACCCTGCTGACTTGGCCATTCCCAGAGCTGACCTTGGGTAATGGCTTGGCTGGATTTATGAGGTAGGGTCTAGGGCTTTGCAGAAGAGCCAAGACCTGCAGGCTGGACAGGCCAGGCTCAGTCACCCAATATGGAACACAGGACGGCACTCTCAGCCCAATGAGACATC